CTCGTATAAATTGCTTTAGGATGAATTCTTCTATTAGTAAATATAAAATTTTCGGATCTAACCCTATCGTTATTTTCTTCAAATAAGAATTTATATAGTAAATTCTTTCCTGAAAATAGGGTAAACTTGATCAGACTCTTGTCATTAGCTTTAAGTTTTGCGCCTTAGTAAACTTTATTATTTCATAATTCGGCAGACTGTGATTACATTATAACACATTAAATTGTATATTTGATATTATGTTACGTAAGAACCCGTCAATCAATATTTGGAATGCTTATTTTTTAAGTTCCCATGTTATTGTAGTCTCAACTAAATTTTATTATATAATTTATATATAATCATGCAATTTTGTCGACCGATTTTTTAAACCTTTCTTTAAAGCTTATATTTATTAAAATTTAGTGCAAATATTTGTTATTGATTCGGTTGACGATAGCTGCTTATTCTTTAATACTAAGGTACTACCTTAGCGATTGTTTTTGGTTACCCACTATGGCTTAAAATCCACAGTTAATAAATTACCGACCCATCTTCACTTTATCTTAGTATTTAGGGTCCTATATTGATTAATTAGTTAAATTGTAAATTTTATGAGACTAAAAACAAACAAAAAAAAAAAAAAAAAACCAAGCGAAAAAAGCTTATCTTACATATATTTGAGCACTAATAAAAATGGTAGTTGTGCGAGTTTATCTATAACCTTTTTTTTTCTAAAATTAAACACCAACTTTAAATTTTATATACTTCACATTAGATGCCCTCCCTTCCAGATAAGGCAATCGAAAAATAGTTCGGTAAATATTGGTCCGTATTCATGCGTTTTGTTGAGTTATTTTTTAATATCAATAATAATTTCACTCGCCTCTATAGGAGGAGGACGGAATTCGTGCATCATTTATTAGAAATTGACATGCACAGAATTGGCTAAGTGCTTACATAATAACAATAAGCAATATTGGCGTTATGGCTTTAAAGAATACTTCATGAAGAATTTAAGACATGTATTTTTATTTGTACCTTCTTATCAATTCAAAATTGCCATGATACAAGAAATATAATTATATGTATGATATCAGTAATGCACGTACCTACATACAAAGTGTGTTGCGCGTTCTAAATAAACAGACACTGAAGATCGTTATGAATACAAAGTCTTCTATAAATATGTAAAATGAAAAGCGAATAACGTCCAAATATTGCTTAATTCCACCTTTCGATAGAAAAAAAATTACAAACCAAAAAACATAGATATAGAAACAAAAAAAAAAAAACAAAATACAAAAACAAAAAATAATACTGTAATAATAATAATAAACCAAAAACAAATACAAATAAAAAAAAAACAATAAATAGACAAAATAAATTTTATGTATTTTTAAAGAAAAACGCGGGCCGACAATCTTATTGACCTTAACAACAAATTCTTTAGATAATGACGTCTGGGACATCTTTTCAAATCATTGAATGCTTTGAATGTGGAAATCTACGCGATAATTTATGGTGCTCCTGCGAAACCGAAGCCTTTATACGGAACTTTCATAGATGGACAAGTGGTAACACAATGCTAGACAAAATCATTCAATATACCCAACGTCATGCAAGCAAAGATGTTGGTTATCTTGAATGGATTCCATTTGAAAATATTGACTTTATAGAATATCGTGCAACAGGCTCTTTTAGTACCATTTACAGTGGTCTATGGTTAGAAGGCCCTAGATGGAATTGGGACGAAAAAAACGCCGATTGGCTTAGAAATGGTCCAACAAAATGTGCTTTAAAAAGAATAGAAAACTCTAACCAAATGAGTCAGGAATATTTAGACAATGTAAGCATTTCTTATATATCAGGAAAAAAACTACCATGTTTAGCGACATAATTACTTATTTAATTACTTATTTAATTTGGCTCTCTTTATTTAGATTATAAAATATCACCAATGTCTTCAAGGAAGATCTGTTGTTGATTGCTTCGGTATTACACGTGAACCAACTGGTTGCTATATGTTTGTAATGAGACTTTGCGATGAAAATTTATACCAATACATTGATAAATCTATGGGTTATCTTCGCTGGGAATGTATTGCTGAAATGCTTCGTGGAATTATTGATGGTCTTAAACGAATTCATGATAACGGGCTTTATCATGGTAATCTCCACGGTGGAAACTTGTTAATTGAATTTACGCCAGGAGGCATCAATATAAGAATTTCCGATATCGGATTACATGGTCCAGCTAATAAAACTGCTTCTGCAACATATGGCGTTTTACCATATGTAGCTCCAGAAGTATTAAAAAGTATTGAATATACACAAGCTTCTGATATATATAGCTTTGGAATAATTATGTGGACATTATCTGCATGTATGCGTCCTTTTTGCCGAGTTCCTCATGACCTTAATCTTGCTAAAAGTATATGCAATGGATTACGTCCTGAAATTATTAATAACACTCCAGAAGCATATTCAACATTAATGAAAAGATGCTGGCATCAAGACTCAAATAAACGACCGAAAGTTACTGAATTAAGCAATATTTTAAATCGCTGGGTAACTGCGATTTATGAAGATCCTATCTCAAACTTATTAAATGCTGAAAATAACGATAGGGTTAGATCCGAAAATTTTATATTTACTAATAGAAGAATTCATCCTAAAGCAATTTATACGAGTCAATTATTAAGTTTTCAATCTTTACCTGATGATGCTTGATTACCTTTTTAGAATTGGCAAAATCTATTATGGCAAAATCTGTATGCAAACTTTATATAAGAAAAATAAATAAGGACTGTTAAGTACAAATTCTTATGCTCGTTCAATGTTGCTATTCGATTGAATTTTTTTTTTATAGACGGTTAGCAAGGTTAAAAGAATTTATTAAAAATATGTAATACTTGCTTATACATAATTAAAAAAGACCTTAATATGGTCATATTTCATTCAGAATTAGTACTGTATTATATTGTTAAGACACCGTACATATTACGTATATAGTTGCAGTCCAAATAGTTATCCAAATAGGTTGTGTCTGAAACTTTGTCCCAAATCCAATTCATAAATTTGGAACAGGTTGAGTTCCAAGGGTTTAACTAGTCCCAAAATATGATTAATACCTAGGAAGTTCAAGTCCCAAACTAATTAGGTTTGGACGGTAACTATAATTACGTATAAAATGTTTGATTTTAGAATAAAGTTAAAAATTAAAATTTTAGCCTTATGAAGGGTAGCGATGTATCGCACTGCTTGAATATTAATTTCTTGGCAAGTAACACTTGATATTCGAAGATCAAGGAAGTCATTGTTCTTTTTTGTTCTTTGAAGAAATCTTATTATCGAATTTCGTTTACGAAGCTGTCTTTCATGTTTTAACAAAAATATTTCTTGCCTTTTATGTTTTAACAAAATATTTCTGGCTAAATTTCAATATATAATCTTAACGTTAGTATAGATGTAGATATTTTGAAATAATGATAATCTCTGATTTATTCACAGCGGATGCTACGTCATAACGGTGGCCCCTGGCCACCGTAAACCTCAGCATCCTAGTTCAGTTATCATTAACAACATGACCAATAACAAGTACTTATAGACTGTAATAATGTAGTAAGTATTTATATACATCATATATATGTAGTGATATAAGCAGTAAATAGTATGATATATGTGTAATGCATGGTGTAATATGATTTAGTAGGGGTTTCAAAATTAAAATCAGCGAATCTTATTTTTTTTTGGTTTTATTATTCAACATAGTAAAAATACTATTGAACAAATTCTACTTATTTTTGAAATGCATCCAGTAAATAACAATTAATTGCAGAAAAATAAAAAAAATTAAAAAATTAAAAAATAAGATTTATCTTTAATGATGGCAAGTTGTAAAAGCTCAGATGATGTTGGTTCTATTTCTTTAAAGTCCTTAACCAAAAAGCGAAAAACCAGTGGGTTAAATTTTGAAGCTGGTACCAAAGTAGTAAGATTCTTGCATCTCAAGAAGTTATTGTCTGTATTAGGTCTATACTTCAAAAACATTTATATTCAAATTAGATAAAAGTTTATGCATAGTTTTTCTGGCACAAAGTTATTTGTTTATACTTTAGTTCATGTTTTCACATTTAATTTATATGAAAAAAAATTATTTGTAAAGTTTATACATAATCTACGCTTAATTATCAAAGTTAAACAGAAAGTGTGTAAAGATAATTTTTTTAAACGTTAAATCATCTAACATTCAAATCAACTCCAATGTTGTTAGTATATAAATATGACAGGCGTTACAACCTGCGACATTATTATAACCTACAATGGTCGTTACAACCTTTAACATTTATTACGACATCACATATTACAACCCACCACGACAATACACACTTGTGTTACAACGGGTTGCAAAATTACTGTCGGGATGATGCTGAAACAAGATGATGATGAAACATTGATTTATTTTAATATGAAATTTTAAAATTTTGGGGATGTTTTTTATAGCTTTTTTTTTGTAGTTAATTAGGGTTTAGGGCTAGTGTTTATAATTAAAAGGTACAGGTGGATTTTAGTAGGGTTTATATTTCTAAATTGAGACCCCACGTTTCAGCATCTTGTTTCAGCATCATCCCCGACAATTACTAAGTAATTTTACTATTACGTGACGATCGACGCAAATAACCTCCCGCGCATATATAACAAAAGTTTTCTTGACCGATTTTACTGTTAGAACCTTTAATTCTAACACAAAATAGGCCCCTAATCCTAACATAAACGAACTTAAAGAATTTTGTCTGTTATCACGTGACAGTAAAAATCTTGTTGGTTCTCCTGGGAAAGATACAGATGTAACGTATCGTATTTTCCCAACATGTATACCCCCGTGGGCTATACCCTGTAGCAATTTAGAGAGCCAAATTTTGATTTATACCCGGGTATATAAGTATGGGAGTATCATACTTATGTACCCAGGCATATAATAGTAAAACATAGAAGTACTCGTACAGTATATGGGCTAGGGAAATACCCCGGGTACACATGTTGGGAAAATACGGTAATTGAGGTAGCACTGCCACAATAATAAACCAAAAACAAATACAAATAAAAAAAAAACAATAAATAGACAAAATAAATTTTATGTATTTTTAAAGAA